ATCAAATGTAAACTTTGCGTATGGCAACAAGTTTGATGTGATGTTTTAGATTCTTTTGCATATCGAAAACGAACTCGGTTATCCAGTAATGAGTCACTTCAAGTGGCTGGCTGGCACTAGCACTGGTGCCATTCTTGCACTTGCTTTGGCCAGAGGTATCCTTAACAACTGATAATTCTTTGTTGTGAGAATGTAGAATCTATATCAATTGCTATTAGTTACTCTTAAATAAGCGGTCAATGCACTGCTCAATAACATGATAATATCACACGATTTTAATTTGCATGGTCGATCGGAAAAACAAAAAATAAAGATTTTAACTGTATAATGATTTCTATCAAACATTTTGTCACATATCACAGATAATTAGGCGATTCTTAATTATTAGTTATTCATGATTTATTTCAGGCGATTCTTTACGTCTTTGTCAAGGTTTATATTTACGACTCAAGGATGATATCTTCAAAGGCAAAAAGCCGTATTCGGACAAAACAATCGAATATTTTCTCCAAAGTCATTTTGGGAATTCGCTTTCAATGGCACAAATTGAATCACGAAGGTTATTGGTTTGCAGTCACTGAGTTGTTTTTTGTGGCGTTTTTAGTGAATTTATGACAGCTGAATATTTAGTTGTCTAAATCACATGGATGAGGTCATTGAGCATTTCGTTCCGTTTGCATAAAAACATNATGTTGAGTTAAAAGCCACTGAAATTATACTCTTGCCGTGCAGCTTGCTCAATTATGCGTTATTTGCATCTTTTGATAGCGTTTTCGAAGTTGATAAGCGGTATCCTCATCAACCGTTCGTCATAATTTTTGCGTTTTTTTTTTCAGGGTGATGGTCACAGCGACAAGCGTCAAAAAAACCACACCTGAACTGAAACTGTATCGGAATTATAGTTTACCACTAGACAGAAAGCAGAATGAAGCGTTGGGCTATATGGACCCGAAACATAGTCTGGTCTGGAAATGTGCAAGATATTCGAGGTTGTGTTTATTTGCTCACGTATTGTTGAATTCCGAGTGTAAATTAACCTTCCAATTAATAGATATGAAATATGTGCCCAATAAGATACACAATTTGCTGTGTGGAATAACTAAAATCTTAAACTGTCAATGCTACCTTTTAAGTGCAGCACCAACGTTTTTCACACCAAAGGATGATCTCGTTGACGGTGGTCTAATGTCAAATAATCCAACACTGGACCTTCTGACTGATATCCACACCTATAATGCTGCTTGTCAATATTCGGTTTGCCT